AACAATAACAAACGACGACGACCTCTCACCTCTCAGAAGTGGGGCACAGCCTGTGGGTGGTGCACTGCGCGGACAAGACACCGGAGGAGGAATGTGTGGTCAGCAGGTACCGCCGTAAGATGGTTCTCTCACAGCTGGTGCAGTTCCTTGCCGCCCTTCAGCTGCCTAAATGGGTGAGTTAAAAGTGAAAATGAAAAGGATGCTGCTGTTGCTGATGAGGAGGAGGAGGAGGAGGAATCGAGGAGGATGTTAATAATAATAATAATGATGATGATAATGATAATGATAATAATAACAATAATAATGATAATGATAATTGCAATAATAAGGATAATAGCAAAAAAAAAAATAATAATGATAATTATCATTATTATTGTAATTTTTGTCATTATCATTATTATTATTATTATTATCATTATTATTATTATTGTTATTGTTATTAATAGTAATGATAATGATAATGGTAGTAATCATGATGAAAAAGATAATGATAGTAATCATGATGAAAAAGATAATGATAGTAATCATGATGAAAATGATAATGATAATAAAACAATAGTATTAATGGTAAAATAATAATAATAATGACAGTAGTAGTAATAATAATGGTAATAATGATAATTATAATAATAATAATATAATAATATAATAATATAATAATATGATAATAATAATAATAATAATAATAATAATAATAATAATAATAATAATAATAAAAGCAATAATAATAAAAATGACGATAATGATAAACATAATAGTAATAATTAAGATAATAAAGATAACAATGATGAATCAGTGACCGCCCCCTGACCCTTCACAGCACGAGGTCAGGCTGGCGGCCGGGTTAAGGCAGGTCGTCACTCCCTACGACCACACGGAGATGCCCTGGATTATCCTCCTGCACGACTCCGCCTCCCGCAGTCGTGTGATGACCTTCGTGCCCCATTTGGCACAGCTCCTGCATGGCACTGCTGCAACACTCACCCTTGATTTGTGAGTAATATGGAGTCGAGGAAGAGTTATTAAGACTTAATTATATATCATTACTTGTTACGTTTTTTTCTTGAAGTTTATGATGATTTTGTTACGTTGTATAGAAGTAGATGATAATTGCCAGACGTTAATTACGTGTAGGATTTCGAAACGTTGTTAGCGTATAGGATGCAGAAACTTTTATAGCATAAAATATATTAAACGTTAATTACATGTGGGGTATGAAATGTTGATTACAAATTATCTGATTACGTCATTCAAAAAATGGTGACGATAACTTGGCAAGCAATAAAATAGCAGAAAAAAATCATGTTATATAAAAGTTTTAAATACATATTCCTTGGGTACACACTTTAAAAGAAAATATAAAATATAACATCAAAATATTAATTCCATAAACTTCATCCCGAAATACCAATTCACAATGATGATGATAATCACTATTATGCTTATTAATGATAATGGTAATCACTATCTTCGCTGATTAATGATAATAATAATCACCATCTTTTCTGATTAATAATAAGTATAATCGCCATCTCCGCTTACTGATAATTATAGTAATCAATCTTTGCTGATTAACGTTAATAATAATCACCATCTTCCCTGATTGATAATAATAATTATCACCACCTTCGCTGATTATTGATAAGAATAATCACCATCTCCGCTGCACGCACATTCCCTCAGTGAACGACCAAGGACAAATTGCAATTGCAAGGTTCGCCTCCTTTCTCATTGCAGAGAACAGGAAGGCGTCGGTGTCTTGGCTGATCTTGGTCTCTCTTTGTCGAACGTCGTTGCTCCTGCCATGGCTATCCTGCAGCCGCCGCACCTCAGGAAACCCACGGTGAGGATTTGCGTGGGTTTTTGTGTATGGGGTTGTCTCTGTGTCTCCGTTTCTCTGTCTGTTTTTTTTTCTGTCCGTCCCTGTCTCTCCGTTTCTCTGTCTGTTTTTTTTCTTGTCCGTCTCTGTCTTTGTTTCTGTCTGTCTCTGTGTTTGTTCTCTCTCTCTCTCTCTCTCTCTCTCCTTTCTCTCTCTCTCTCTCTCTCTCTCTCTCTCTCTCTCTCTCTCTCTCTCTCTCTCTCTCTTCTCTCTCTCTCTCTCTCTCTCTCTCTCTCTCTCTCTCTCTCTCTCTCTCTCCTTTTCTCTCTCTCTCTCTCTCTCTCTCTCTCTCTCTCTCTCTCTCTCTCTCTCTCTCTCTCTCTCTCTCTCTCTCTCTCTCTCTCTCTCTCTTTCTCTCCTTCTCTCTCTCTCTCTCTCTCTCTCTCTCTCTCTCTCTCTCTCTCTCTCTCTCTCTCTCTCTCTCTCTCTCTCTCTCTCTCTCTCTCTCTCTTTCTCGCTCGCTCTCTCTCTCTCTCTCTCTCTCTCTCTCTCTCTCTCTCTCTCTCTCTCTCTCTCTCTCTCTCTCTCTCTCTCTCTCTCTCGCCCATACTTATATACATATACACGTATATAACATGCATATGACAGTAATACTTACCATCAGGGCCGGATTATGACCTT